CTCACGATTGGCCCCTGTGGCATGGCAGTTTCACTGGCAGATCTCTGCCCAAATCCTATTGCCCAGCACACAGAGCTGTGTGCCCAGCTCCAGGCCGCCCATGTCTTCCTTTGTACGTCCTAACCTGTGGCACAGCCGCCTGGACATTCCATCTCTGGCCCAGCACACACTAATTCTCCTAAAAGTCAACTTGTCACAAGCCAATTCAGCAGCTGCAAAGTGAATATACTGAATATATCACCTTGCTGATATAATAAATTCACTGAATAATGAATTCACTGAAAACTATCAGAAAAATACAGTAGAGCCATCCTAACCAGTTTCTGCTTCCCTGATTTGCTGAAGTGACAGATATTCTTCATGCACTCTGCAAAATGCCCTGACGGATGTCTGTAAAATGCTAAACATTCATAGTCATCGATAGGCTTCCCTCCAGAATGTCCCATACAAAGAGTCCTCTCAACTGAGCTGTGCAGTTGTGACCAAGGGTCAGCTTGGCTCTGTAAAAGTGTATACTTATGACTATAGTTACTTATGTTAATTTGATTAGCTATTACATAAATAAACCAGTGAAGTAATGAGTGCAAAAGGAGAGGTGGTAACTCTGAGATGATTCTCTATAGAAAGCTTCAGTCAAGGGGTGCCTGGCTGGCTCAGTCAGTAGAGCATGTGATTCTTCATCTCGGGGTCATGAGTTCAAGCCCCACGTTGAGTGTAAAAATTACTTAAAAATAAAATATTAAAAAAAAAAAAAGAAAAGAGTGGCGCCAGGGTGACTCAGTCAGTTAAATGACTGCTTTTAGCTTAGGTCATGATCTTGGGGTCCTGGGTAGAGTTCCGTGTCGGACTCCCTACTCAGCAGGGAATCTACTTCTCCTTCTCTCTCTGCCCCTCCCCTTGCTCATGCTCTCTCTCTCAAATAAATAAATAAAATCTTGGAAAGAAAGAAAAGAAAAGAAAAGAAAAGAAAAGAAAAGAAAAGAAAAGAAAAGAAAAGAAAAGAAAAGAAAAGAAAAGAAAAGAAAAGAAAAGAAAAGAAAAGAAAAGCCTTGGTCAAGACAGACCACAAAGGAAGAAAAGAAAACCATCCAATTGGGGTGGGCATGTCACCTAGGAAAGAACAGCATAGCACTTGAAGCTCCAGGAGGTCCAAGCTCAGGCTGGCTCATGAGTGTCTACATTTTACTCTACTTTAAGGAAACAAAAACTGGAAATAACTAACTACCACAGGTATAGGTTATGCAGGAAAGACAAGCAGAATTCGGTGCAAAGCCCCATTCTTAAGGAACACAGCTACTAGCCCCACATCAAAATCCCAGGGGCTTCAGGGACAGAAAAGCTCCCTGGATACCCATGTGTTAGGCACCAGTAGGGAGAAATTACCTATTGGTCAGACTCCTACCCCAAAATTATTTGTTTAAACTTAAAATGTTTAGCACCTATGCACACATTTTTTAGAAATTCTCACTTTAACCAACACTTTTGGCTAACCAAGTACCATCAGTAAGAGAGCTTCTCATGTTCCTTAGAATAATCTATCATATTGCAGCCGAAGGCAGGGATGGAGCACAAGCCAGGCAGGGCGAGAGACAAGGACGAGAGAGAGAGCGAGAGTGCAAGAGAGAGAGAACAAATAAGTGAGTAAACAGCAAACTATATTTGAGGAAAAATCGATGGAAATGGATTGACTATTCAGTGGTCAAAAATGGTGGAAAGGGCAGCCCCGGTGGCTCAGCAGTTTAGTGCCACCTTCGGCCCAAGCCGTGATCCTGCAGACCCAGGATCAAGTCCCATGTCTAGCTCCCTGGATAGAGCTTGCTTCTCCCTCTGCTTGTGTCTCTGCCTCTCTCTCCCTGTGTCTCTCATGAATAAGTAACAAAATCTTAAAAAAAACGGTAGAAAACATTGTCTATTTGATGTGTATGCCTCGTCTGAAATTGGTATTGAAAGTGTCAGTCCCTCCATCTGACCTGGACCGCATGAGACATGTGTCTCTGTCCAGACCGGATACATGGATGGCATGTCCATGTTCACAGAAACCTCCTGCTCTGGTGGCTGCCCCTGGATGTTTGCAGCCTGGAAACCCCTTTCCTGATCTGAACTATGGGATGCAGTGCCCTGAGATGGTGGGCAGGCTCAGGCCTCAGACAAACTTAGGAGGGAAAGCATGGGTGAGCCAAAAAATAAAACTCAGAAAAGAGAGGCTTCTTGGATGGCTCAGTCAGTAAAGCATCTGCCTTCGGATCAGGTCACAATCTCAGGGTCCTGGGATACAGACCCGCACTGGATCCCTGTTCAGCAGGGAGTCTGCTTCTCACTCTCCCTCGAGCCTCTGCCCCCACCCTCCTGCTTCTCGTGGGCTTGCTTTCTCTCTCTCTCTAATAAATAAAATCTTAAAAAAAAAAAGACCCAGAAATGAATGAACTGCTACCCACTTATACAGTTCTTTCTCTTTCAAACAAATGACGTTTATGAGGATTAAGTGTGGACAAACACTTCTGGCCCACACTTTTGCATTATATCTAAAAAAAAAAAAAAAGGACACAGGAAAAATGAAAGCCAATTAAGTCACAGTTTCTACAACAAACAGAATGAATTTTAAAAAAAGGAAAATAATTTAAAAGTTTATAAAAAAGGGAGAAATAGCTAACATATGGTATTAAAAAGATAAAAACAGGGATCCCTGGGTGGCGCAGCGGTTTAGCGCCTGCCTTTGGCCCAGGGCGCGATCCTGGAGACCCGGGATCGAATCCCACGTCGGGCTCCCGGTGCATGGAGCCTGCTTCTCCCTCTGCCTGTGTCTCTGCCTCTCTCTCTCTCTCTCTCTGTCTCTCTCTCTCTCTGTGACTATCATAAATAAATACAAATTAAAAAAAAATAAAAAAATAAAAACAGCATATAAAAATCATTCATTCAATAGGTTCTCAGTTATGGCAAGATTAAATGTATAAAACAACAAACAGTGCAAACTATACATGCAATTTAAAACAGAGAAATAGTGAGGCACACAGGTAATTTAAATTTTCCTAATGGCCACAGAAATAAATGAAATTGATTTTATTATTATATGTGTCTTCTCTAACTCAGTAACTCATCATGCTAGCAATGTGATAATTACTAAGGAGATGTTCACATCCTTTTCCTCATCCCAAGCCTTGCAACCCAGCATACATGTGGCAGTCACAGCACATCTTGATTCGGACTTGAGGCCCCTGGGCCCCTGCCCCGACTCAGCACAGGTGAAGGAAGTTGGCGGCTCTCCCAGGAAGAAGGAAACATAGATGACTTTTATTTATTTTTAGGGCTTTCCCCCAATTTTCTATAGTGATCTTAATGAAAACACAGCACCAAAGGCCCCATGTAGACCTAGTGGATCAAAAGGTTCATTTTTTTAAGATCCCTAGGGATTCACAGAATGTGAAAGCTGGGGAAGCAGTGCTCTATATAGTAGCAGCCAGCTCTTGCCCAAGGCACAGATCTGCAAGGCACCTGCTCTAAGCACTGGAGGTATTCAAGATTATCCCATCACATGGGCACCACTATCATAGCCTTTCAGGAACAGTAGCATTTGCAGCAGCGATGCTATGGTTACTGTGCATGGTTATACATGTACCTGACAGTAAGGTTGCTAGAGGTACGCAGCACTCTGTGTCCTGCTGCCTTCCTAGACCCCAGTTTGGAAGCAGGCTTCCAGTTCCTGACACAATTTTCTCTGATCTGTGAGGTGTGCCTGTCTTGGCTTTGCAGCCACACCACCAAAGCCCTAGTGCTGAAAAAACACTGCATTTGAATCCAAAGAACCTGCTACAAAGTTTGCCTTTTCCTGCCTATTGTAGGAGCTTGAACAAATCATATATATTCACTGATCCTAAGGTTCCTTGTCTGGAAATGATGTATGCATACTCTTCACATGTAGGGGCTCTCCAAGTTCAGACTGAAAGGATTAAATGAAATTACAAGTGAAAAAGTAACAAGTGTGATGTCTGATACATGGTGGGGACCCAATAAGTGCTAATGCCCTCTGTCCTCCTCTAACACAGTAATGAACGGGTGTCTACTGGACACCAGCCACTGTGCTGAGGTGCAGGCAGAGCTGGAGATGACTGGGACATAGCCCTGCTCTCCTGCAGTCCTTGTCCTGCTGGTGAGATGAAGGAATAACTCACATAGAAAGCAAACATTACAAAAAGAACTGTTGAGTCACTGAGTTTGCTCTAATTTTGAATGAAAGTCAAATTTTCCTGAGTAAGCAAATTAGCCAACAGCAAAAGGCAGAAAAAACTAAATGGCACAGGTGAGCATCCCAAGACTGCAAAGGTGGCAGAAATTCCCAAACACATTCTGAATGCATAACATCACATAAAATACGCATTCCTGGAATGTGTACCTATGTTTTATTCCAGAAGAAGCATATAAATGAATATTAAAGTTGCAGACTAAGGTATTCAAATCCAGAGTTAGTCCAGAGAAAGGGTCAAGACCCCAGGCTCCACTGCCATTGCCATGTCTGCTAAAGCCTCTGACTGAAAAGGAAGGAAGGAAGGAAGGAAGGAAGGAAGGAAGGAAGGAAGGAAGGAAGGAAGGAAGGAAGGAAAGAAAGAGAAGAAAGAAAGAAGAAAGAAGAAAGAAAGAAAGAAGAAAGAAAGAAAAAGAAGAAAGAAAGAAAGAAAAAGAAAGAAAGAAAGAAGAAAGAAAGAAAAGAAAGAAAGAAAGAAAGAAAGAAAGAAAGAAAGAAAGAAAGAAAGAAAGAAACCTGACTTAAGAACAGATTCCCATGGCCCTGTGGCTCCAGCAATTGTCAAGGGGACACCAGCCTCCCAAGGGAAGCTACATGTACAGCCTCCCGCTGACAATTATCAGCAGTCCTAAAAACCCACTCACAGCAGAGTTTCTAGCAAGGTGAGGCCTCTCTTCCTCCAGATCTGGGCTATTATCACCTGCCCAGAGCCCCAACGGGCCCAGGGGCCCAGTGGCTCTGCTGTGTAGGACCCTGTACTTACCAGCCATGGCTGGGGGATCTCAGGCAAAGGCATCTGGGGAGGAGCCGGCAGGCTATTGGGGGTCTCTTGCTTCTGAGCATGATCCTTCACTTCGAAACCTGTAAACAGCAACCAAAACCACAGAAATGGATGAGGAGGAGGGTGTGGATGGATGGTGCCATTAGCAGCCACCACTGTCTCAGCCCCATCTTGAATGCTTTGCAAATATCTGTTTTCTTTAAGCTTATACAACAATCCTGTTATTCTTCTCCAGGTGGAGAACCTACAGCTGAGAGAGAAAAAAAGAGGTTACAGAACTAACAGAAACATTAGCAGGTGAAAATGATGGAGCTGGCACTAAACCCTACATTCCTCCTATGCCACATGGCCTCGCAAAGGTAAGGTGCTCTGCCTAAACTTCCGCTCAGGTCAGTACTTACCCACGGGGACTAAGGGGCAGGCGCAGATCTGGGAAGCAGTGTGTCTGTATTAGGTGCCCTCTTACAGTCAAATACTGGGAGACACGGGTGCCATGCATGTCCTGGTTGGCTTAAGCTTGGGCCCTGGGTGCACCCGTGTTCAAGTTGGGAAGTCAGGTTTATACACAAGTAACTTGGTAAACGTGATGAGCACTGCGCCCGCAAAGGCAGGAAAGAGGAAGTAACAGGCTTTAATCTGAGCGCAGGACTATTTCCATGCCAGAACCCCTCTGGAAAGACCCATAGGAACAACCGCTCAACGGCATTTGCCTGTCCTGGGTCATGCATGAGGCACAGGCAGGTAAAGGGCTAAGAAGAGACAGCGCCCTGACCACAAGAAGTACAGTGGAAAACTCTGGCAGAGAACTGGGAGTGGTAAAGAAGGAAAGAAAGAAAAGGCACACATGGGAATTCTATCACTAAAAGCAATCAGCAGATGGGCTTCGGGCTAATTAAGGAGTGCAGGGGAGGAGAAGTGAGTTGGAACGCATTGGAAGGCACGTGCAGAGTGAAGCAGGGACAGAGAGAGAGGGTCGGAACACACGTTGGGCAGAGGAAGAGCAAAGGGCATCAGGGAAAGCCAATAGCAGCTCCTGAGATCGGAGGCCTGGATGCTGTGGTGCATCCAGACAGGCAGTGGGGAAGGACCAACTGAAGGGAATACACAGAGGGTGTGAGGCCAGGGAGGAGGGCCACCTCTACTGATGATGGCAACAGGAAAAGGTGATGGTTGTAGGGACTGCACGTTTACTGCATAGCAAGGCACTGTGTGGAGGCATTTCACATCATCTCATCCGACCCCCACAATGTCCCTCCAGGGAGGAGGATGAAGGGAGCAGACAGAGATGAAGTAAGTGGAGTGCGGTCACTCACTATTCCATCAGCTACTTGAGGGCTCTGCCTTCCCAGGCCTGGAGACTGCCAGCACCTGGCACAGCAGGAGGCCTCCAGTGACAGCGTGATGAATAAAGACGTTAATGAGCAAATGAACAGTGTTTTAGAAAAGTGGTGGATTAAGGGTGCTTTAGAGACAAAACGGGACTGGGGGAAGAAAGGGCAGACGCACCTTTAGATGACTGTATCCTCAGCAGGATGTCGGTGATAACTGCCTTTTTCTCTCTAACAGTTGATGTTAGATATTCATGGTCCAGGAGTTCAAGAAAGAGACGGAGTTCAACTATTAACTCTTCCATTGCTGCCAACAAAAGAGAGGGAAGGGCACTGTTAGAGCCAGTGATGTGCAAACGCCACAGTATAAATGCATTTCATTTTAGCTTGATTGGATGCAGTATTTCAGCGTGAAGAGCAAGTTTGCTGAAGCCAGGTCAACTAAAATTCATGCACTGCCTTCTGCTCCTTCACTTTTGCTCTGAGGCAGTAATTTTCATCTAGGAGAAGCTCTAAAGCCATGCTGCCAACAGATGGAGTCATGACCCAAAAGCCTGACATCATCATGGTGTCAATTGCATGATATTAAATTTCAATGTTGAGAAGGAGATGGGAGCTTAAAACACCAAATAGTTTTCAAATAACCACCAGGACGTGGTTTCAGAAACTCAACACCCAAGTCTGCCTTTGCAGGGCTGGATCCATCCCCAGGAAGGCTGTGAGCATGTTTGTGCAGTTACGACAAAGACGCTGGATGCCAAAGAGGAGTTGGGTGGGGACTCCTGACCATATCTTTTCCTTCTAGGATCACGCGGACTCAAGACCCAACTATGAGGTTAGTGTCTGCAATTTAAAAATCATGGTGTGAACATTTCAGGGACCCTGACACCCTTTTAGGGCATGCAGGAGGCCCAACTGTTTTCAAAATACTGAAGCATTATTCTCCTTTTTCTATGTCAATGCTGCAAAGGCAAAGGGCCTTATACTGCCAGCCTCTTAGCACAAATCAAAGCAGGGACACCAGGCTAAATATCAGTCACTGCATTCCTTACCACACACTTGCAGTAAAAATGAAAATATCACTGTACTTAAACTGCCTTTGACTGAGCGGTACTGATCATTGCTTTTATTAAATCTCAGCCCTGAAGGATGCACCTTTTTGGTATCCTGTGTGATGAGATGGGAAGCATGCAAGTGGCCACTCTCCTGCCATCTGAAGGACAACTGTCAGGAAAAGCAAACGTGTACCCTTTGAGGTATAAGTCACACTAAGCTGCTTTCCTTGTGCAGCACCAAAAAAGAAGTGACACACAAACTACCAGGACACAGACTGAGCATATGACCAACATCTTCCCAACAGGGAACAAAGTGAACTTGCCACGCGAGAGTAAACGACAGCTTTGGCAGCCAACAATAAAACTTGAGCCTCCAAGTAGAAGTGAGAATCTCGAATGCTTGTCCCCACTACCGTGAGTACAACAGCTTCTCAACTTTCCTAATCAGAGTGGGGCAGACGGTGACCAAAGGGCTTTTCTGATCTGGAATACAATGATATGTCAGCATTTAGGCGATCCGCACAACTCTGACCAGCAATGTCACAAAATCACACATGGGCAAAGATCCATCTAATGTACAAAAGAAGTGGAGATATTCTAATGTAGACAAAGCGATCTGTGATTCAGCTTCAGATTCCAGGTTGCAACGAACCTTTAAGAAACTACCCCTCACCAGTTTTTGGTATACTATCAAAGAAGAATATTTTGAGTTTTCTGAAGAGGCACTGATGTATGCTTCTCTGACCACGTATCTGTGTGAGCCAGATTTTATGAGTTCCTCTGAAACAATGCTCCACAACAATATGAGTGCAGGAAAGATATGAGAATCTAACAATCTTTATCAGACCTGATACAGGAGATGCTCAAAGACATGAAGAAGCTGGCATCTCTGGAGCTGAAGACTTGTAAACACAGGAGCCCTGCCTAAGCATGTACAAGCACAGGCAGACATGCTCAGATGCCGGAGACCAGGTGAGGAGAGAAGAGACAGACACTCACGGGCTTCCCGAGCCTTCCTGGGCTCTCCTTTGTCACCTGTGCAGTTGAATCAACACCGCATACCTGCATCCTTCTAATACATGTTCGTTTCATTGATTTTTACTAAGCTGCCCTGTATGGTTTTCTTTTCACCTGAAATCACAAACCAAGACTGCAAAGCACAGACAGCACTCTCCACCACAGGGTGCAGAGCACCCCAAATCAGAGTGTGATTGTCAGAAAAGTTACTCTTTTTCAGGGTCTTCATAGACTCAACAAACCACATTATATCCTTAACCATCCCTTCAAACACTCAAAGCCTACAGCATCCTGCTTTCTCCCAGCCTGATCTAAGTCATTATCCCCAAATAGCTCCTCCCCACGGTGGAGGGGCTCCCTTAAATACTGAAGTTTATTCATCTTGCAGCAGCCATACCAATAACCCAGATATCTAGTGAGCTGTGGGTCTGTTTTTGTTTTGCTTTTTTTCTCAAAACAGCTGGTCAGCCAGTTAAGAGAATAAGAGCAGGTTCCGTGCTTGCGCGTCTCGGAATTTCCAGCCCCGTGGTATAATATTAATGGAACGCTCACAAGTACTGAGATGGCACAACTCACAAGTAAAGAACTGACACTTTCCGAGGACCCACTACATGAAAGTTACCTACCCAGGATTCCTCCCCTACCCCCCACCCTGCCCTGGGAATGCTGTAGAAACTCCACTGTACCAATCTGCAGGGAATGAGAAGCAGGCACAGGTCCATTTCACTTGTCTTCGAGAAAATGCTCTCCCAGGAGCCTCAAGTGCCTGCACTGTGCTTGCTCATCCCTGGACAAGTGTGAGTTCACTTTGCTCCCAGAGACCTCAATGGGTTAGATGGTGTTATCATGCCCAGTTTATAGCTAAACAGAGGCTCAGAGGAGTCACTAAAGGCTACTAGGCAAACACATGGCTAAGCCTCTCCAGCAAATAATCTGCTCACAGCCATATAGTGAGACCACAGCAGTGAGAATCTGAATGCAGATGACTCCAAAGGCCCTGCTTTGACTATTTCATGATATTCATTCCATGACTGCTTTCTGAGATGACCCCGGCCTGGTGAGATACCACATTTTTCTAAGAGCAATAACATGCTCAAATGAGATTAAGAACACATATGCTAGAAAAAATTAGGAGGGTGATTCACTTCGTCAGAGCCTCCATGGTGCCCTATAGAGTATTATAATCACATACCGAGCCATCTACCTCATACTGGACTGCCCATCCTGCTGTGCAGGGGCAGTGTCCTGTACATCATTGGTTCCTTCTGATGCTCACACACTCAACAAATGCATGTTGAAGGAAGGGACATGACTTCCCATAACTAACAAACATGCCACCAAGGCAAGGGAGGAACAAGAACTTCGCATATCCAATTTTCAGTCTAAAATTCTTAATATGATCATGCCTTTCCTGTAAGTCTAAGTAGTGTCCAACAGAACCTGGAATATGTATACCTATGCAGGGGGTGGCACCATATGACCCAAGTCTGCAGAATGCCCAGACAGCAGAAGGAGCCCACATTTTGTCCTGTGCTCTTTGGTACTGCCACTCTTTCTTTCCAGCTCTGAGCCAGCTCTTGTAGGACAGGCAAAGCAATCCAGCATCCAAGGATTCAGCTTGGGTTTTCAGAGATGTATCCTGAGTGCCCTTCTCCACATGCCACCCAGGGCTTACCTTCCTGATATACCACTTTTCCACTGCCCAACACTTGTTCCCTCCTGCTTCTCCAGGGTCACAAAAGACTCACACGTGCCCCTGACCTCGTCTGCTACCCTAGCCCAAGTCCTCATTATGATACAGATTTGTCTATTCTCCCTTCCCCCACAAAGTATCATCTGTCCTTAAAGATGTCGCATAGAGACTTAGAGCTGCCATCAAGTGCTGACCATGTGCCAGGTAATACGCTCAAAGTGCTTCATACACATTATGACGGGATCATCACACAAATGCTACCCCTGAGACAGCATTTATTTTCACCATTCTACAGATGGACAAATTAAGACTGAGAAAGGTTATGTTCTTGCCCAAGGTCACATTGTTCAAAGTAAGAGGCGGATGGGAGTCAGAAGCAAGTCTGCTTAGTTTTCACGCCTCTGTTTTTTATACCATCACACTGTACATTTCGCTCGTGATGGATGAGGGCATTCATTCCTCTTAGGAGGTTATGCTCCTCAGTGTTTATACTCAAGTAACCTCTTTCCCATGACATGGAACAGGCTCTCTACACAATCACATCCTATAAGGTCACTGCTCAAATTTTACCTTACGTAGCTATTTTACCAGTGGTTCTTACATTAAAAAACAGCATCTTACAACTGTAGATAATTCACCCAACTCCCTCAACCTGATGAAGAAAAGAAGACTCAGAGAATTGGAGACTCACCCTGGGCATGGTCTGCTCCACACTCCCATTTGTGTGTGCGGAATACAGGCCAAAGAGCTTTGCGTCCAGGTTAACAACTAATTCTATTATACCATATAGAGTACTCTCAGGGTCATTTTATTTCTCCATCCTCACAATCATGTTATCTTTGAAATATTGCAGACGGTGGAGATGAAATGAAGAAAGGTGAAGAACCTGATCCAGGTCAGGAAGCAAGGCAGGGACACATCCACCCAAGAACCACTTTGTTCGAGCCCCTAACCCTCACACCTGCTCTCCTGCTCTGGGCAGAATGGTGGTCACCTAACATAGACTGGGATCAGGACACAGGTGTACATCACTAACTTCCAGGGAAAAAAACAAATTTCCCAAATGCCCACACCACCCAAAAGATCTGGCTCCAGGATTTATGATTCCCAAGGCAACAGGGAAATCACCTGGAGGTATTTCAGGACAGAGTCTATGCATCTGAAAAGCAGAATTCCTTTCTGCCTAGCAAAAGGATTTTTGCACTGAATCAAGTGACTCTGCTCTTCCTATATGGTCAGTGTCTTCCACGTGAAAGGGAATCCCTACGTGAAAGGGAAAGTATGAATAAAGGCTAGACAGCATGGTAGACAGATAATTCAGTCCGGCAATATGCTTCCTCTGCAATCAACCCCTCCACTTTTTAGAGTAAACCTCTGACTCAAGTTTGGCAGTTTATTTTCAACAACATTAAAGAAGCGGGCTATTGTTTGTGGGACCAAGAAACCACTTTAAAGGAATGTTATTCACCTTAATGCCTAGATCACAGAATCTGAGAGCTAGAAGGGCCTGTGGGGTCCAGTGCCTTTACTTCACATGGGAAGAAGCTGGTGCCAGAGAAGGAAAGTGACCTACCTGCTGAGGCCACACAGGATTTGGCAAAAAGGCCCAAACCCAGAGCCAGGTAGCCTGACTGCAAGGCTGGAGTGCCCTGGTCTGCACGGAACAGTCTTCCTCACACGCCTCCTCCAAGGGCAAGGACAGAGCACCCAGGGTCCACCTGCAGTTTCTCAGGAAACCAAATCACTCTTTGAGAGCAAATCCTGCAAACAAGAAGAAATGCCTGCTATCATTGGCCCTAGGAAGACACAGTTCACTACCCATAACTCCCTGCTGTTTTGTCAGAAAAGGTAAGGAACAGCTCATAGATTCACGTCACTCGAGGTGTCACAGGTGACAGAAAACACTCATTGCCGTGTCCACATTCTCCTCAGTCTGCAGACTTCAGTGACTTGCAGGTGGCCCAGTGCTGTTTGCATCCTCAGCCACAGTCACTGTCTCCAGACTACCACGAGGGCAGCTGGGCATCTTTTCAGTGCTATGTATTCATCTGAGATCCCTCCTGTGCAGCTCTTCCCTTCTGAGTCCTAACCTGGTGCACAGAAACTAGACATGGGCAACTTCCCTTACATAATCTCAGTTGTTTCGCCCTAATACCCCAGTACCCCTGGCTCTCTCCCTCCCAGCCATCTCACCCAGCCCTAGCCAGCACCCATGTACCCTTCTCACCATGTGAGCCTCTGGGGCTCTTAACCCACTGCAGCCAGGGTCACCTCCTGCTGCCAGCCAGCCCACCCTGATCACCTGGCCAACTCTCCTCCCTGCCCCTCCAAAGGCTGCCAGTCCTCTAGAGTGGAGTGGTCATTCCATCCATCCTGACCTCTACTTCCCAGAATCTCTCTGTCCACGCCTCTACTTGGTCCCTCCTCTCCGCTGCTTTTTAGAAGGAGCCCAGCCTTTGCACCATCCAAATTGGCTCCAAATCCCAGTTCTGAGTCTTCCTAGTCCGGTGACTTTGGATAGGTGAGTAAATCCCTCAAATTATTTCATCCTTAAAATGAGATGCTGATTATGCATCTCAATATTATAATGAGGATTAAGTGAGCTGCTCTACATACAGAGCCAAGTATTTAACAAATCGTAGCTATTAACATTATGATTAGTATATGCTTATCTTCCTAAAATTTCACTGTACAGTAAGTGAGCATTGCCCACACACTTAACTTCGCAACCCTGGCATCCTTAAATATCTATCCTCCCTTAAGAAAAGTCATGAAACACTATTCTGTACAATTCTGTGCAAATACATTTGAAACCAGGTGAAATACATAATTTCACCAAAAAGAATATAATTTACCAAATTGTTTTAAAAAGTGTATGTAGGGACACCTGGATGGCTCAGTGGTTGATCCTAGGATCCAGGATCAACTCCCACATCAGGCTCCCCACAGGGAGCCTGCTTCTCCCTCTGCCTATGTCTCTGCCTCTCTCTCTGTCTCTCTCATGAATGAATAAAATATTTTTTTAAAAATAAAATAAAAAGTATATGCAGACAAATTTTCCACAGAAGAAGTAGAGAAAGTTGTCAAAGAATTAGCCTCACAAATAAAAGCCCCAGGCCCAGATGGTTTTACAGGGGAATTCTACCAAAACTTAAACACCAAACCTTACTACACAAATTGTTCCAGTAGGTAGATACAGAAAATTTTCAAATACCTTCTTTTTTAGAAGTAGGTACAAAAGTGATCCCTAAACCTGATAGAGACAGCACAAAAAAAGAAAACCAAAGACTAATATCATTTATAAATATCAATGCAAAAATCCTAAATAAAATATTTGCAAACAGAAATCAACACATTAATAGCAACCCCATGACCAAAAGAGGTTCATCCCAGGAATACAAGGATGACTAACATTAGAAAACCTACTAATATAATTCATCATATTAATAGATCTCATAAGATGATTGTCTCCACAAATCATGAAAAAGTCTTCAACAAACTTCAATATTCATTCCCATTTTTTTTCAAAGTCAATAAATGAGAATTGATATATACCTTCTTAGCTTGATAAAATACAGGTACTAACTACTATAGGCTGAATGTCTGTGTCCCCCTCCCCCGCCCCACAAGTTCCTATGTTGAAACATAATGCCCAATGGATGGCATCAGGAAGTGGGACCTTTGGGAGGTGATGAAGTCATGAGGGTGGAGTCTTCACAAAGGGGATTAATGCTCTTGCCCCTCCAACCTGTGAGGATGAAAAGTAGGCAGTCTATGACCCAGAAGAAGGCCTTCACCAAAATCGTCCATGCTAGAACCCTGATCTCAGATATTCAGCCTCCAAAACTAGGAGAAATATATTTCTATTCTTTACAAGCCACCCAGTCTATGGTATTTCATTACAGCAACCTGAAAGGACCAAGACACTAGGAAAGAAACAAACACAGCAACAGCATCCTAGTCAGTGAGAAAGGATTCAGGCATTCTGGGTAAGGTCAGAGACAAGTCAGGGAGGCCCATTTGCTCTACCACCTTCACTACATTGGAAGTGTTAGCCTATGCAACCAGAAATGAGCAGGCAATTAGTAACTTACGAATGGGAAAGAAAAAATAAAATGGTCTCTGTTTGCAGCTGATGTGAAATTATACATAGAAAACTCAAGATAATCAGTGATAAAATGACTACAAATAATTTTTAAAACTTGAATAAAATAGAATATGTAGAAGATATGCTTTTCATATTAATTTTATACCAAACAATAAATATTAGGAGATAGAATGAAAGAGAAGATCTCATTTAAACACATTTTAGAAAGGTAAAACACTTAAATTTTAAAAGAAATGTGCAAAACTTCCACGTGGAAAACCTAAAACATTTCTAAAGACAACGAAGCAAATCTGAACAAACAGAAAGTATCCCTTGCCTATAGAGAGGACAACTTAACATCATAAAGATGTTAATTCTCTCTACATTCACAGATAAATTTAATATACCAGTGAGCATGCAAGGATATTTAAGAACAATGAAGAGGGACTGGCCCTATTCTCTATCAGAATGTAATATAAAGTTTGTATCATGAAAAAGGGGTAAGGGGTGCTTAGGTGGCTCAGCTAGTTAAGTGTCCAACTCTAGATTTCAGATCAGGTCATGATCTCAGGGTGTTGGATCCAACCCCACATTGGGCTCTGAACTCAGCACAGAGTCTGCTTGGAATTCTCTCTCCCTGCCCCTCCTCCAGCTGTGTATGTTCTCTCTCTTTCTTTCTAAAATAAATAAATAAAATCTTTTTTTAAAAGGTGTGATACTGTCACATAAATTCCCAGTTGGATCAACTACAGAATAGAAAGTCAACAAATAGGCCCGTACACATTTGGATATATGGCATCTGCTAAAGGCAGTGTGTTCAACCCAATGGGTAAAAGACCTCTTAAGGTCTTTTTAAAGACATGGTGGCCATTTGGGGAAAGGAAAAAGGTAAGTTTAAATAAACACTTCCACCATATGCCAGAAAAAACTCCAAAGATATTTGGGAATCAAAATATTAAAAAAAAAAAAAAGAAAAAAATGAAACCATTCAAGTCCTCGAAGAAATAGAAGGTGAATTATTTTATAACCTCAGTGTGGTAAAAGATTTTCTCATGAGGACTCAAAATCAGACTTAACAGGAGAACACTGGCCAGGGTGGGTTGCACTGTGCAGCTCACGGGGCCCCCCACCCACACAGGGTTCACACAGGAAGTGCACTGGGGCCTCATGGGAGGGGCACACCTGCCGCCTGGCCCACACACATCTCTTGCAGCTGTCTCCAGAGGCTGGGTGCTACACAGCTGGGGAGCTGGTCCCATCAGAGCCCCCTGCTCTCCCTCCCTCAGGACCACTGTGCTGGATTTGAGGCTCCAGTGGGGAAGCAGTTTCTAAACCACATGTATCAGAATCTTAACTAGCCCCTGCTTATTTTTCCAGACTCACCTGTCTGCTCCCCACACTGTGCTTCACACTGATGGCATGCCTTCGCACACGCATCAGGCTTGCTATAGCCCATGGACTGTGGCACGCACTGCTGCCCTGCGTGCCTGGCTCACCCCGACACACACCCACCACCACACCTCTCCTTCTTGGCTGCCTCTTACCTGCCCACCCTGGGAGGCAGCTGCGTCACCACCAGGCAGGCCTGCCACCATCACAGCCCTTGGGTTGTGCTGGCATTATGGTAAGTGTGGCCGTGCACCCCAGCAGGCAGCGGACAGTCGGAGGTCAGGACCCCTGCCTCTGCTCTGTGCCTAGGGCGTCCAGCACCGCGCCAGGTTCGGGAGCCAGGACTCAACCTGCACGCACAGTGTTTGCTGAATGCATTCTCTCTTTTGTTTCTACGTCTAACAGGCAACATTCCTGAGATTTGTTTGGAAGAGAAAGTAGCAGAGCAAAATACCCCGGACTGTCCTCTCATAGCAACTGTGTCTGCTGTGATATTCTTAGAACACACACATCAAAAGTGGCAGAAGAATGGTTCTAATAAGGTCACTACCGTCTCGGCCAGGTTGATGGCTGTCTGGCCGGGGCCCTTCTCTGTCAGCAGAGACGCTGAGGAGGACATCTGGGGTGCGCTCAGGACAGACAGAACTTGTGTGGCACTGGGAAAGGGGCTGACGGTCAAGCACGGCGCTTGCATATTTTCCCTTATAGGGTTACAGTTAGGGCTCTTCATGCAGACTCTTGCAAATATTTCCACAGGCCCCTACAGATCATCTGAACGGGCTGCCGCGAGGTTGGACTGAGAAATCTCAGGAAAAGCAGCATAGCTGTAGACGCTGTCTGGTTGGAAAGTTTCCCTCAGCTAGACCACATCTAAAATTCCTCAGAACTCCGATGACCATGATTTGGATGACCGGATGGAGGGCTCTGAGCACAAGCCACCAAACTTCTTTGACTCCCCATGCCCTGTCTACACCGCAGAGATAATAACAGTTATGTGCCTCGCAAGACGGCTGGAGATCCAAAGAAGGCTGTAAATAAAAGCCTGGAACTTTAGGGGCATTCCATTAAGGTTAGTTTAATTTGACTCTGACAAGTTAAAATAAAAAAAGTTTCTACTTGTCACTCTCCAGGGTCTGAACCTATGACAGTCACAGCTAGTTCCAGCACAGACTAGATCTTTGAAAGATTTATCAATATCCCAAAGGAAAGCCTGCATTTCTACAAGAGTAAGCATACATATGCATATTCTAAGTCCTGAGAATCTTACTTTCTGGATTATGGAGAG